TTTATTTTATTTACTATCTGACTCTTATTGTCCTTTCTTTGTTTGATTATTATTAAATATATAAAAAAATAACCTCTATTATAAATTATTTAAAATTAATTATTTAAATGAAATAAAAGAAAAACAATTTTAAAAAATTAAAATACATATATATATATATATCAAATACATAGCACATACAAAAAATTATAAGTAGAATATTATCATAAAATTTGACATAAATTTAGAAGCCTAAAGGGCTTTAGACACATACATAAATACACAGTATATAGCTTTAACGTTACATTTTGTTCTTTGTACAATACAATACGTTAACATTGGAATATGGCGCATAAATAATATATCAATTTATATTATACGATCCATATATACTTATATGTAATAGTATACTTATTACGGTATATAATATATGTAGTGCGAGATATGTATACGCTTTAAAATACTATACAACTGCTGTGTTGCTGTCGAAATGCATGCCTAAACAATCGTGTAATTAAGTCAGCGACGATACGTTTTCTTTATTGTGTTATACGAATTGTTGTACAATTCTACTCGACTGAAAGTTGCCCAAGAGTAGAAAATGGCAAATGTAATGACTATATAGCGGTCGCGATTCTGTCGACAATTTGCAAACACTAACGCGATCAGAGGGATTCCAATTTCACAACTTACGTATACATATATATTATATAAACTTATTCTTAAGTATGTAAACTTACACACTGCCGTTAATTACATAGAGAAATCTATTTTGAAAATCTTATATACTTAATCTATATATCAATTATTTAATTTTATTAAAAAAGTTTACTCCGATATGTTTCACCGTAAACAGATTTTCATCTCGTTAATCTGTATGAATATGTTTTCTTTTTCCCTTTTCTTTTCTTGCAAATAGACGACAGAATTACACATACACAGTCAATAGAGGCGCAGGACTGACATAACAGATTGTCTTATATGTTATGTGCATGTCTTATATATGTATATGATGTATAGAAATCACGAACTCGTTACATATACTCTGTAATTCCTTACTAACTCTTTGTATCGCAATATTGTTTCTTATATGTTATAGAGTACTACTATATACGCGGTAGAGTCGTTCAAGCAGTTAAAGAATAGAAAATCTACTGTATAAGCAGAATATAATGTAACAACATTGTACTCAATTCTTAATAGTCTCTTGAGTCACTTTTTTCTTCTGATTTTTTTTTTAATCGCGTTGGCCGAAAATATTTTAACGAGCCTATTTGCTTTCGAAAGCATATAGAAATCGTATTGCGATGAGGAATTCAAATGTATCAACGTAGACCGTATTCGCCATATACTGCAAACTGTTTACGCATCAGATTGCTACATCTGGGATAACACTATAAACTACACGTACTTATAAAATATTATATCTATATATTTATATTATATATATATATATATACATATACGTACACGTATCTAATGCAAATAATGCAATAAATAACATCTGCCCGAGCTGCCTCCGTTTTATCCTGCACTTAAAAGACGTGTCTTGTGCATTATAATTAACTTAAAGGATACATGAGGTAATAAGTTCAAAGATATACGCTACGAACGATGGACATAGCTACGCCTATTGCAATGTAAGTTTCGCCTTCAAGCGTTTGAAAGAGACTCGTTTGGTTCGCATGCTGCATAGGAGTCCATATTCTTCTTCCGATGCATACACACGCTCTACTACAGTCTTTTGTTCGCAATCAGTACTATTGACAATATAAAACGGATTGGAATAATGATCGGTACACGTAATAATGATAAGCCTTAGTCAAGCCATTCTCTATCACGTTAACGCACACTCGTTTCTTTTTGTTTTCGATGAATAACTAATGAAACACTCACAAATGGTTCGTAAGGCTTAAACGAGACTTGTACGCCACTTCAGCCATGCGCTATCGTTTTAAACGATTAATACTTTAAAAGCTGCCAGTTCGCAATAAAGCCCTTTATCATAAATGAGAAAAAATTTACCGCCGTTACAACAATAAAGTGTAAAGTTAAAATTATAAAGCGCTTTATACATATAGCTTAAATTCGTATCAAATTGGTAAATACTAACAATAAGAAAATTATTCCTTCCTCATGGTGTGTGACCTCACGCTACGCATATCGAAAATTTATGACATGCATAATAAAATTGGCAGATTTCAGTATAAATATATATATGTATATATTAGTAATATACGCATGGATTATATTATAAAGTGAAAGAAAAAGGGAAAGAGGGAAGAGGAAGAAGAAAATAAAAAAGATGATGTGTGTGTGTGTGTGTGTGCATAAAAATTAATATAAAATAAACTATTAGCATCTATATAATATATACATTACTTTACAAAAAGTTTATTCTCTGAAGATTTTTCTTTAATAAAAACAAGAAATGTTAATAATACACATTAAAACGACGACTGGAAAAACACGTCAGCATACTATATATTATTTTTTACTCTCATAAAATTGCTTGAAAACAATTATAACTATACAATAGATCTCCATGGAATTGTAATTGTTTTCGCGCAAAAAATATGCTGCAAAATAAAAAAAGAAAGCTTTTTAAACTTCCTCGAAGTTGGATTATTATGATTTACATAATTTTACATAATTTACATATATATCACTTTTTTCCAGTCCTAGTATTACTTAAGAAAATAAAGGAAAAATATTGATAATAGACTAATAACTTGTACATATTTTTTTTTTAATTATTTAGACAGTTTAAAAGTTTTGGGTTATAAATGTACAGGCTATCCCAGAAAATATGTTGGACGGTATTACTTAAATGCTTTCAAACAGATATATGTTTGCTAGCATATAGTGTATTAAAAGAAATGGAATATATGTTCACTCTTAAAGTTAATGGAAAAAAATTCAGTAAAATAAATAATTACAAAACAGGTTTTCTGTTACATAAGATTACACACATGTGTTATATCTTCATTTATTTTTTTATTATAAAAATCATAATTCTCTTGATATTATATGGTTATCCAATAAGCAAAAGGTTAATAATATGCTAGCAGTTCGTCAATTAATTAAAAAAATATTACGATAAATTGACATTCATATTGTTATCAAAAAATGTGTCAACATAATCTGATAATTGCCAGAAGAAACCGAACAGAATCTATCGTTTTGTGAAATAACCATTTAAATAAAATATATTATTTAAATAATTAAACATTTTGCAAAATCCGAAAAATTTTAATAAATTTGGCTAAGTTAATAATCTCTTTCTATTTTTAATAATCTGCTAATAATTTCAAAATGTTATTTTATTTAAAATCTCTTGAATAATATAACATATACTCCATAGTGATATTTTCCCTAGGACAACCTGTATTGATGAAATTAGGTTAACGAAATTAAATATAACGTGATATGTTTGTCAGAAGAAAACGAATTAAGAGGAATAACGAAGAAAATCATTATTCTAAAATAATAAATTCGACATCGTGTTACATGTGTATTAGATAGTGTCCGGAATATCGGGGTATATCCCAATGTAAAGCTGATATTTTATAAATCAAAAATTTAATCGAGCACTATCCTATTAGGCAATGTCTTTATATATAATGTTAAAGCCTCAAAGTGCAGTTAAAAATAAATCTGTTTTTGAAATTAAAGAGAATTAAAGCTTTTACATATATATCTGCGCTTCTAAAGTTTAGCATGTTCAATTGCAAATATATTAGAGATGAAGCTAAGAAAAATATTATATTGTAAAATAAGCTTTAATAATTTCTCTATTTGACTCCTTCTAGCCATTTTATCTAATAAATACAAAATAATTATAAAGAAAGATGGAGTCTACTCAAACTTTCTTTAAAAACAAATCGAATACAAATTGTGTATGTGTATTTACGCGAAAAAAAAAAACATGAAAGTCACGTTAGAATTGTTTTTTATCTTTCAAACTCGGTGACGAGTACGATATATATTCTTATGAATTTAATTTATGGATAATAAATTCAGTGTGTATCGCCACGTTATAAATTGTGTTATAATTTAAATTACAGTAAAAATATTATACAAGTGTGTATATAAAATTGTCCAAGATCATGCAAAATGTAGGAAATACAGAAATGTAGGAACAGAATCAAGCTAATAATGGTCCCGAAATTGTCAGTATAAAAATTTACCTTTAAATAAGGAACAAAAAATTGTTTAGTATAAAAATTGATTTTTAAGTAAGAAAAAAGATCGAAATGCGTACTTCTGTAACAAGATGTTATCCTACATCAAACTAATAGTAATTCGAATACACACCTATCTAATGAACAAATTACATCTACTTCAGATATTTTCAAACAATGACAACGAAAATCGACTAACGGATACTTCGACCAATTTTTCGAGTCAATTGTTTCTTATGAAACAATCGATGTCATCATATCGTTTCAGTTTCAATTTTCAACATACTATAATTGTGTGTGTGAATATGATTATTATTACTAAGAACATTAGTGTGAACAAAGTAAAGGTGCTTTGTTTAGAGAAGCCAATTATGAAGTATCATAACAATATTTATCAGTCTCATAACAATATTTTTAACATGTCATATCTTTACATTTATATAGAATCTGAGCTTCTAATGTTTCTCTTTATATCAATGAACACGTTTAAGTTATTGTAATAACGTAAATTATTCATTTTCTTCAAAAGGCGGACTAGCTTTTAAATATAAACAAATATAAAACATTATCTAATACAAACTGCTTCCTAATTTTCTCCAACTGCTGATTGATATATACAAACCAAAAATTTTCTACATAAAACTGTAGATAAATTATAAAACTACATTTCGCTTCTTATTAAGTATCTTAATAATAAAACTTCAATTATATTAAAGTTTCATAAAAAATCAAAGTTTTCTTATCTTATTTGTATGTTATTTGTACAAAAAATTATTCAATTTAAACTGCTGATACTTTGATACTTCGTGTATCGAGGAAATCCAAGCTAGATCGGTCGAAGAATCCGTAAAGGTAATTTTCTTTGCGTTTAGCCAAAACGCCCTACCAAAAACTCATTCATAGGCTTGTATACCTTCTCGTATGCGCATGTGTCGAACTGTGAGAGCAGAAAACGATAAAACAAATCATCTAGAGAACAACATCGGGCAGGGAGCAATGCCACTAGGCTAGCTGCGTTCCACTTCGTCCAGCGTGATGTCCCATACCAATCATGGAACCGCCGCTTCCTATGTCATCGCGAACAGTTTTCTTTTCCTTATAGTAAATCTCTTCGCTTTCCTTCTCGCACAACAGCAGTATTGCTCCTCCAAAGAGGAAAATTACGGCGCCCCAACCGACGCCGTACGCCCAACCAAATTCCCAATTAGTTCGATTTCCTAAAAAAAAATAAATTATATTAAGTAAAAATTGATCCACACAAAAATGTTCAATAGAAATAACCAAAAAGATTCAATAGAAATAAACAAAAATATTTAAAAAGTGTATTTTAAACGTGGACGTAGGAAGACAGAGAAAAACATTATGTAAGTCGATAAAAAACTTGTAAGGATATGATTTCCGCATCTATATAACTTTTCACGACTTGAATTATACAATATGTTTTCTTTTTCCTATATCCATGGCTGATATTCATAATCAGCTCCTATATTTAAGACGATTTTAAATACATTTTAAGTGCATCTTGAGATATCATAAGCCAATCACAGATTAACATACATATCAACATCTTAAAACATTATTTAATACTAATACCTAAATTCTAAGCAGAATCATAAGGTTCATAACACATTCTCATAAGACTTATAAGAACTTTAAGTCCTTATACAATAAAGCCTTTATACAATATCTTAACAGACAGCTTCTTACTAGTCATAAGATTTACAAGAAATCGTAGATATTTACTATCATATTTCTTACAATTCTGTTTAGAAATGATCCATAAGTATCATCTTATATAGTTTATAAATTCGATTGTATACAGTATAAGGAACAATGTGTTCTTTCGTTTTTTCCTTCACTCTTAATTTAATCAAATTAAACGAGAAATGTCGAAAGCTTACCGAGATTCAATTCTGCTGCAAAACATATAGGATATATGATCAGTGCTATTAGGAGGGACACCACTGAAACATATACAAACGTGAGTTATAAAAAATATCAAATGAAAAGAGAAAAAAGGAGCAAAGCATTCCTGTAACACTCACGTGCAGTAGTCATGCAGAACATTGCAAATCTATAATAGTTATGTTTGTCCCTGTGATCCTGTGTGCGCAAACCCAAGCCAGTGAAAACCGTCGCGACGATGTCCGTCAGAAGACACACCACGCACAAAGCCGCAGCTGCCTTTATGTAGGCTGTAAGGTAAAACCTCAGATTACACAATCCAACCAGACATTAGTTCAACATTTAGCAAGGAAAGGAATGGTACCGCTATCTCTGGCTGGGTAGCATCCCGGGGGATCGGGCATGTTAAAGGGGAGTGGTGTCGGGGCGCCTTCCTCGATGCAGTGCGCAAACAAGCCCTGTCTCCATCCCAGGGCCATCAGCCAGTCAGTCGACGCTAAGCCCATTATCATCAGCAGCACCACTATGATCCCGCATATAAACGCGATCACCTGTAAGAAAACAAGCATAAATGTAACAAAGCGACTCCGTCAGTAGCTGCTTAAACGCTATCACGCATCCAGGGTATCATGGGGCAGAGATGTCTATCCCTCGAGAAAACATGATACCTGTGCGATCTCGTTGTCGCCCATGTGATCCTCGGCGACTGTATACATAATCATTTCACTTCCGAGTCCACGATCACGAATCCGTGGAAAGAAACACGCGCGAGTCGGCAGCGACCGATCAGGACAAGGGGAGAGCTCCTTCTTCGCGACGTTTCCTTCAAAGACGTACGCGCGGCGACGGTGACACGCTCCTTTCCGGGTGGCGCGCACGAGACATCGTCTGCTTCTCGATACTCTCTTGACGTCGACAATTCACACGGAGTGGCTAGAACCCACCCTCTCTAGCACCCTCTCTCTCTCACACTAAAGAGATATGCGCGTCGTGCCGAGGGTTCCGCGAGACGATCGTGGAGTCTCATAGATGGTGGGGAGAAGGGTTGATTAACGGGCTCGCAGGGGTCAATGGCTTTCGTCGCGCTGGTGGACCCCGCAACAACGTATTATCGGACGAAGGCAACCCCTTGTAACGCGCGCCGCACGAGTTGTTTTCTCCCCCTTTTTTTTTGTCTCTTTTTTTCCCTCCTTTTCGCCTCTTTCTCGCGGAGCGGACGGATCGCAGATCGATGGCAGTGTTCCGGGGTCGTGGCCCCCTCCCCTTTTTCACAACGCGAACGATTTTTAATGACAGTAATACTTGCACAGAAGGAGGGAAAGGGAGAAAGAGAGAGAAAGGGAAGCGCGTCTCAAGCGAGAGCGACTGACTCTCCACGACTGGGATTGGGGAGGGAAGCAATCGGATTCCAGGTTCCAGGGAGGCTGCGCCCATCAGCGCCCATTAAAGGTCGCGGCGCAGCGCGCGCGAGCGCCAATCTCTGCGCTCTCCCGCTCTTCCTTCGCCCTTTCTTTCTCTTCGGTTATTTTTATTTCTTCTATCTCCTTCTCTCTCATTCCATCCAATCCCCCCCCCCCTTTCATGATCTTCTAGTTATCTATATAACTCCATTCGTAGTCCTTGCACGCAATTATTCATATCTTATCGAATGACAGTATAAGTAATGTATTTATTGGTGCCTTCACTATGCAAGAAGCATTATTCCATCTTTGTTTAACATTGACAATATTAATAATGTAATGATTCACTGGGTTACACTGTGTGTCTCTTACTAGAAAATATATATTATCTGTTTTTGTAAAATATATAAATTTTATGTTTTTTCACTGCACATTTAATATAAAATTAGTTTCAAAATCTTGTACAGTGGTTTATATAGTCATGATTTATTTAATTAAAAGGATTAAATTGTGCAATCTGCACATGTCACAAATTAAATTCTCTCGTATTTTTAATATAATAACGGGACAACTTGTCTTCCTGTTGAAACATTCTAATGCGAGTCGAAATTGGAGTTACAAATTTTTTGTAGAGAATATAAATCTGTCATTTTACCATGTCATGAATAATTGCTCTGCAACATTATTTTACATTTGTTTCTTTACACTTTAAAATCAAGCTTTTAATTTAAGTATCACAACTATTTTATTCCAAGATAAAGATTCAATATGATAATAATTTACAGAAAAGTCAATCAAATCTTTCATTTAACATAAATTTTAGCTTCAAAATCTCAAAAATGAAGCAATTTATGATTAATTTCTGTCTGCAGTAAAAAGGAAATTAACTTTAAACTTACCTTAAGTGGTCTGGTTATAGTAAGAGTTTCAATAGTGGTTGTTTGAGGCATTCTTTATGCTTTTTTATTTGCACTTGGCTGTAATAAAAAAGAAAAAAAAACTCAACTGAAAGAGAAACAATACAAAGGTTTCTATATAAACAATTTTCAATTATTCTGCTTAAAGAAAAAGTGCTACAGTAGAACTCCATTTATAAGAACTCTTTTTATATATAAAAATAAATATGTATCCAAATCCACAGCTTACCCTAGGTTCAAGTAATAAGAACTTATCTTCAGTTTATGAAAAGTCCTATTATCAGAACAAAATATTAGTAGAGAAGATCTAGTGAGCCTCTATTATCCAAAGTCCAAACTATTCAGTTATCAGAACTATCCTGTCCCTCAATGTTTATATAAATAGAATTCTACTGTCATTTAGACAGAGAGGGACTATGTGTTAAGAAACCAAAATAAAAGCTTATTCAATATATTCAACCAAAGATGACTATTTTTAGTCATCTATTAGGATGTCCATGGATTTCAGAAAATATATAGAAAAACTGTTTTAGATTAAATATAGATTTAATCACAATCTTACATTGCAAGTGTAACACAAACTTTGAATGGCACTTATATATTCTTATTATTCATATACAGAATTAAATTAAATGTATGAGTCGCGTAATGTGACAGTGTAAAACTTAATACTTGATATCTTATTACATAGGTCTTTCTATATTATAATAATATCTAATTCAATCATACATTTTTTATGAAATATAAGTATGGAGTCAAATCTCAAATTGCAGTCAAATCTCTAATTGCTTTAAAGTTAAACTGGAGAGTTTTAAAAGAAAAATATCAGTAATCCAAACAACAAAGTCTAAAATTGTGACATAAGACGTCTCTAAATTATCTTTACACAAAAAACATCATATAACCTATTTTTAGATATTTTTTGTTTTTTAGGAAATAGCTACTGATATTTTTCAGAGATATTGCTTCAAATATTTCACATACTTATGTGATAAAAAGGAAAATTTTTTGTTTTTTTTAAAATCATATTAATTATTTTAATGAAACACTTTGTATATGTTCAAAGTTTCATAAAAAAACTCAAGTGATTTCCAAAATTTGTAGAAAAATCAATATTTTTCCTTCAACTTTAATAACTTGTATCTTTGAAACCAAGCAATTTCAGACAGTTATATGAAGTTTTCATGTTGAATTTATATGAGAAATCATCTCATAAAATCTTTTAAAATATTTAGTATCTATACTACATCTTTGTATATATATTTATATTATACAGCTTTTATATACATATTTGTATTATACACCTTGTTATTGTAATCACAACAAATTAATTTTTCTCCACTGTCTCTGTTTAGTAATAGTTCCTTAATCTGAATCACACCTTCTACCTTTAATCTATTTATCTATTCTCTCCCAAAAGAATTTGAATTCATGTTAAAGACATGCAAGAGATAGAATTAAAAGGAATACATTTATCATTTTCTTCCTTACATAATCAGAAAGCTAGCAAACACTCGACAGACGTTAGCAAATATATAGTACAGGAAACTATTCATATGCCAAACAATTAGGTAGTTTGAATCAGCTGGACTTTCAACCGAATACATAAAAGATCAAAAACCCACATTCCAAGTATGATCTCGACATAAATCGAGAAGAAAACGAGGAGATTTGCGTCCAATTGAATTCATTGACAATTTTCGTTCTCACGAAAAATTATATGTGAGTACGTTGTTAATACCTTTTAAAAAGAAACCTCTCTCCGTCCCATTGCACGTGCCATTGGCATGCAATATCTATCTCGAACGCCTATTTTATTCCAGGGAACTCGGATTCGGAATGTGAGCTAGATTTTCTTTTTCAAAGATCATGCATTAATTGTCCATATTGCTTCGTCTTTTCACAGACTTGTCAGTTGTCACTTCTATTGTCACAATCTCGGTCACGCCATAATTACTCGTCAACTACAAATTCTTGAACTTACAGAGGTTAGAGATTCAAGAGAGTATGACTCGAGATTTACCCAAGATCATATTTAATATCTAGCCGACACCTCAAGTAGACTCAATGAATCATTTTAAGATAATTCCGTATTCTATCATTCGAACTATTCGTGAATAATCGTGAATAATCGACACTGCACTGCACTGCATTCGCTTATTTGCACTAATCTGTACTCTGAACTTATTCTTATAAAGCCCCGTATCCACGGTGTAAAAACTCATTCCGAGTTCTTGAAGCCAGGAATGTGTAATCAATCAACACGTAGTTTTTACGGAAAAACTGCAAGTTAATTGGCTACATACTTCATTGTTTGAGAATTGGGTCAAATTCTAGTTCGTGGACACAGCTTTATAAATATTGGTCACATTCAGCAGACTGAAATATACCAATAGCAATTGGTATATTCTTTTAGATCATCCAATAGCAGCGAGTGCTTACGGATCTGCTCCGCAATAATCGAGTCTGCTGAACGCGACCCTTGGGGCCAATTTCACCAACATCGGTTAAGCTAACCGACGATTAAAGTGTCAACCATGATTGGTTCATTCTGGTCAAAGACAAATGCGATTGGATAATTCCATTGGAATTAACCGTCGGTTAGCTTAACCGACGTTGGTGAAATTGGCCCTTGGCCATCCTTTCAGGGCCACCAAACTGCCATTTTTGCACCATCGTTTTGTGACGCCGTCTAGCAAACGACCCGAGGAACTAATATTCAATATGGCTGCCATCGTTTCCGATACATTTTGATCGGCATATTTCCCTGGCCACGTTCAGTCCGTTCAGTCAATTCAGTAACTGTTGGTTACTGTTCAGTTAACTGTTCTTTAGTTGACACGATTGTTATATTGTAAGATGGTGCGAAAATGTTGTATTCCGGGATGTTCTTCGGTGCCAAAGGATCCAAGTCATAGTTTCCCGAAGAAGACCGAATGTCGCAATAAATGGTTTCAAAATTTAAACATGAAACCACCAGAAGACGAAAACGAAATAAAAAAATTAAGGGTCTGCTATAAGCATTTTTGTGATAAAGATTACAAAATTGATTTTGCAAAAAGAGTTTTACATTCCTGTGCAATTCCATCTATACATGAGCTAGAACACATCGGAATCAGTTGATGTCCATTGCAATATTCAAAGTAAGCATTGCGAACAACATCCCAGGAATGACGATCAGCAGACTGTCACATAGTACGTTTTTGGAACAAGAAAAACAAATATGCAATATTCAAAGCAAGCATTGCGAACAACATCCCAGTAATGACGATCAGCAGACCGTGTCGCATAGTACGTTTTTGGGACAAGAAAAACAAATATTATTAATAGTTCAACAGGACATGCAAATTGTACAGCAAGAAACATTATTGCAGCAACAGAAAATTGAGAATATTTTGAAAGAACTGCAAATTCAAAACCAAAAGCAAATGCAGCAACGAGAAATTGAAAATATTATATGAAAGAGTCATTGTAAAATAAACAAATATTAGCAAGACCTGTTCTTAAAAGATTTACTTGGAAAACTTTGTTAAGTCCTACTGTTACAAAACTGTATCAAAAGATTGCCTACTTGAAAAGAGATCGAAGATATCTAAAAAGAATTATTAACAAATGTAGAAAAAGTAAATTTCCATAAATAAAAGAAAAATGTAATGAAGAAAATACTGATTTAATGGTACGTGTAAAACAGAATATTATACAGATATTGCAAAGAAACAATGATGTAGCATCTCAACATATCCTATTATAACGGTTATTTTTCATTTACAATATTACTGGGTATTTATTACTTAAAAATGTAGACTCACATATTTTATTACATTTGTATAATATTTATATGGAAAATTATTGATACTCAGAATAATCTATAAATTGTTTTTTTCAATTTCTATTCTATTTCTTTTTAAAAGTATTATTTAATCGATTATATTTATTTTTCACATAGAAAGCGTTGATTTTTCAGGACGTTTCTCTTTTTTATTCTTTATAATATTCGTGAAATTAATTAATTAATCCAGAATTTTTTGATCATTGTCTTATATAATTTTCACAGTTTGCGTAATGTGAATGTGGAAAGTCGTGATGTTTTTCTAAATTGTTGCAAAAATCCAATAGAATTGTTTGATTGTTTTTATACAAAAATGTATCGGTCAGAAGTTTTCACAATTTCATTATAACTTAAAGAAAAAGGGCACTAGGAGTCAGGAGCAGATAACTTTATTAGCAATTGCTAATTTGTAACAAATATTTTTAATATTCTTTATATTTTCTTTTATTCTTTATTATATTTTGCAAGTGAAAAGATTATATATATTTCTTTATATTAAAAAGCATGTCAATATTAAGATTATTAATTAAAAGTTGCTATTTCCAGCGTTGTAAATAACAATTTTTAATTTATTCGTATATATACATGTGTACATATATATCCTAATAATCATTGCCTAATAATGAAGCTGAATTTTCAATTAAGACTTCTGTCTATCGAAAATTTTGTTGAAAGCGCTTGATAAAGACAGAGTAAACGCAAGCGCGTGATCTTCTATAAAAACGGAAACGATGGCAGCCATATTGAGTATTAGTTCCTCATTTCCGGTTGTCGATCCCTAGACGGCGCTACAAAACGAAGGTAACGCTCGGAACAAGAGGGGAGATTGTTGGTCTCCCTGATTTCTTTGAAAAGATCAACCAGAGATCAACGAAGAATGGAAGAACATGCGGCTCATGGTGGATGGCAGTGGATAAGTCAGAGCGAATTCGACGTTTATACAACGACAAATTGTGAAAGGTGAGAAAATTTAAGGTCTTTGACACGTAACAAAAATCTTATAATGAATAAATCTTCAACATCTGCGGTTATAATTAAAATATATATTGTACATCGTGAATACAAATTTCTCGAGTCGTGCTCACCGCAATTTGTAATCCACATGCATCCATGCAATCCTTTGTTTTGACACAATGTATATTTGGCAATAGACTTTAATACTCATTATTAAACTGAAATTGTATTTATTATTAACTTCCATCAATTTAAAAAATAAAAAGAGTAATTATACTTCAGTCTACTTTAGAGGATCTATAACTACATATTGTTAGAAATTATTCCAAGATCTCTCAGACAGAGAAAAAGTTGACCAATGATTAACTAATCGAATTGTTCAAATATAATATGCTAATTCTTTTTCTATCCAAGACAAAGCTAAATGCCTGTTGGGATCCAAGTCCATTTACAATTTTATATGTTGTACATTTGACTTATTTGACTGCATGTGTATATTTCAGTATATATTTTTTTATACTTATATATTCTGATATCCTTCAAACGTCTCTCGTATTATATCTCAAAAATTCTTTATATGACTCTAACATGATGATTGTAACCGGTATGAAATTATGATTATATTTGTACATGCACTACCATCTGAGAGAATTAATTTTTATTTTTTATTTATCAAAATAGCTTTTGAACATGTAAATTAATTATTCTAATATTTGTTTTGCAGACATATGAAGCCGAGATAATTTTTCATCATGTTAAACAAATGGTAAGAATCATTATGAATATATAATTACATATCTTAAGATACATAATTTTATTAAAATAATGGATGATACAGGATGCGTCAGGTATTTGAGGACACTCACATATGTGCCTGCCAAGTTTTCGAAGAAGTTTTATTTTTTTTCTTTTAACATCATAAATGGAGAATAAGCTGACTTAGGAAATAAAAAGACACGCTGTTTTCGTTGCTATATACACGAATCACAACAATCTTGAAATCTCCCAATTTTTGGAAGTCGCATGATTGTTCACAAAGTTCGTCGAGAGTTAGAAGCATCTGATGGCAATGTGAAAAGTGTTACTAAGCGTAAAAAAAACATGAGGCACGTTCAGACAGAGTTAGAACATCACAATATGTCCTCAAATGTACCTGATGCATCCTGTATTTCTGAAATAACAAGATAAAATTTTTATTTATTTATTTATTTATTTATTGACCAAGAAAAAATTTAATTTTTAATTTTAAGAAAAAATTTTAATTTTTAATAAAATTTCATCCTATTATGATTATTTCTACATGTACCTCCAACTAAAGTATATAAAAGAAATTCTTTCTTGAAAAATATTGCTATTGAAAACTATTAATTTATATTCCATTTTTTGCAGAATAAAGGAATGGAGATCTGTATAGATAAGAATAATGATAAAAATCTAATGATGTGATGTAAGTATATGTATACACACATTATACAAGAGAGCAATCAGAGATTAATGAGACTGATTTTCTAAAATTTTTTTAATTAATCATGGAATTTTAAAAATTAAATAAAAAAAAGTTACAAAAATAACATGTATCTTATGATTAATGTATCAATTTTATATTTTAAAATGGTAAAAAGGAATGGGATATATGCACTGTAATGCAGGGAAAATATACTTGAAAATTTCTTGAAAGATTAAATAAATATTTTATTAAAAATTAAATTTGTCTCATTATTCTTTGATACACTCTTGTACATATGTAATACTAATATATTAATAACATAATATTACTGTGTTACAATCAATATACACAATGTGTTTGTAAAATAAATATTAAAGATGTATCTGTTTATTTTTTCCTGAACAAATCTTATATGTATATAATGAGAAATAAAATATACTTTTATTATACAATTGAAAAAAAGAATTAGATTAATGCTTATTAAGAAATATATTGTAGAACTGAAAGTCAACAGAAAAATAAGTTGACTAGTAATCGTATTCGTCGAATTATTATAGAAGCAATGATAGCTCATACTTAAAAAATATACTTAATATTGCACCAGGTTTCTTTACTGGAATAAATCCTATTTCTCTGGACATTTAAGGAGGTACGTAAAATAAAATATGCACTTGTACTACTCTCAAAAAGCAAAAGAAGAAGGCACTTTAAGTCTAATAGGTAAACGAAGTAAAAATGAATGTTCAACACAAGTATCAAAAATTTAAATAATGCAGTGACAGCAATGAAATGCACATATAAAGGATACGGCACATTTATTATCTCTAATGATTCTTTCATTCTATTTTCTTTTCTTATTTTTTTTAAGCAATGCTTCATAAATTGACAATGTTATTTATGCATGTTAGCATTACAAAACTATGAATAATTGAGATGAACCGATAAAATATGAAATTCTAAACGATGCGCCCAGCGTCGAATTTCTGGGTACGTCGTTATAAATAATTTTCGTATCATTGTATGCGTTAAAAAATGTGTCAGTAGATATTTTTCCGATAAAGCTTTGTCCCATACAACGAATTAAAGATTATTTGCGCCAATAATGTGACAAACTGAAATTCACAATACGTCATCAATTGCAACTTTTGTTAAAAAAATTATGCTCTTTATTTGGGTCTTTAACGTTATCTCTTCATGGTAAAAGCACGCGTATTGTTCACAATACATCGCGTAGTGTCAATATGTGTCAGTAATTGATTTTTGACTCGACGATAATGAGATTACGTGGGGACACGAGTCCCCAAAAATAATACAATTCTCGTAATAGAGTTGCGTGTGTCAAGTACATAAAACTATATTAATAATATACTTTAAAAATATCATATATATATATATATCTCTACCCATATTTACCTACAACATAATTTCCTTCATACGTATATACATACATATGCATATGTTGCGCGTCTTTAATATCCAACATATGTATATGTATATCACAAGTATCATAAATCTTCAAGGCACTCCAGATGTATATTACATTTATATTTTACAAGTTGTGTTGTCCAGCGTTTAATGAACGGGGCATTTTGACGAGACGTAAAACAGGATTATTTTACTCGTTTTAAAAGCAACGTAATAACGTCCTGTATGCACGTTTATACAGCAAACGAAAAAGGCGATGCAGGCATTAGGAGAATGAGAGATATCTTTTCTATTTTTTTTTTCTCATATCACTCAAATGTGTGACTACTTTTGTAATCTTTTTTTCCTACGTCGATGCCAAGATACTTTATAAAAGCATTCAATTTTAAAGCGCCTTCATTAGAAGCACATTTTCAATGCTGCTTCCCAATTTTCTTTTGTGAAACTAGACATGTATGGTTCCATTTTGCGACAAATCGTATATTAAGACCTATTTACAATAGATGGAAGCGCGTCTCACCATGGCACGGTTTTTACACGCACAGAAAACAAATATATTTTTTATATCGAAAGAAAATGCGATATTGTATAGTGCTGAATAAACAAATAATTTTTGTTTCAATTTTCTTAACAAAATAATTGCATCATCGTCTGTTATACAGACAATCGCAAATCGTTATATAGAAACGTAATTGCGCCAAATATATAAAATGATAAAACAACCTTGCGAAATATTATCTTTCACAAAAAGAATTAAGATTTTTGAAAAATAATATATTTTCTAAGATGTATGTGTGACAATACGAAATAGGTATCTGTGAATTTACCGTAAATATATCTCTCGGACATTACCTATTGTATACAATATAATTATAAACCACGGCACGTTTTGTTGAGATATTTACATCAACTCTTTATATAGATAGTCAAAACACTTCGAATAGCGCATGAACGCTTTCATATATATATTTTTCTATATATATACACACAGGGTGATTTTTTTAACCTGAAACTTTCAAATATCTCGAAAAATAAGCACACTAAGAAAAAATGTTAAGAATCAAAATTTCATCATTCCGAGGATGACATACACTGACGTTAAAATCAGCCCCCCCCCCTCCACTCCGCCCCTGAGCGGTGAGTTAAATTAGGCTGATTTATTGCAGATATTTATTTATTTTTAATTGTCAATTGGTATTTTGTTTCAAAAATACCAATTGACGATTAAAAATTTTCTGAAATTCTATCGTTAATCAAGCACCCCGAAGGGAACAGAAAACTGCTACGTCCACGTCGTTGTTCCTGGGTTACGCTAAAAGTAGTTTCTTGAGAAGTAATTAATGAGTAATTAAAAATAATGAGAAGTTTGTTTTAAGATTAATTTCGAGTATTAACAATGAAAACGTGGTATTTTTATTGTTATGTATTGCAGAATCGTAAGCATGGGTTCTCAGTAAGAGAAATCGAAGAAATATTGAATTTCGTCGATTACAGCTATACCATCTATCATGAATCAAGAAAAATGTTTCAGACAAATCGTATGTGCTTTTAGTCAAAGATTTCAAATATGCAATAAAAAATAGGGGTTCCCATTTAAGATTTCAAACTTGCCCCCCTTCTCCGCCCAGGGGGGCTGATTTTAAAGTCAGTATATGTCATCCTCGGAATGATGAAATTTTGATTCTTAACATTTTTTCTTAATGTGCTTATTTTTCGAGATATTTGAAAGTTTCAGGTTAAAAAAATCACCTTGTATATTAAAGAAATAAACTGTAGCGTGTCATAATGAAGCAAGACACGCCTTCATCTAGTACAAACGGTCGGTAGACAGTGATGCTAAACAAACACGAACATCATTTGCCAGTTATATTATTAATGCGATCTAACCAGCCTATAAGGTTGAAATTTCGAGTGCGCAGATTCTAAGTAAATCAGGCGCTGTGTTTATCCAAAATAGAGACCGATATACGAAATATTGCCTACGTGTTTGCTGCCTCCGTGTCTCATATAACTTTGGCTTCCCGCTTTAGTAACAGCAAGTTTCACAAGCCTTCATATTCGTACTTAAATACAGTATGTTACAGAGAAATATCTATAAGAATGCATGTACATCACCATCGCTTACCCCTAGCAACATTTAGGATAATGTACACAAACAAGACATGTACAGGTTCATCGACTGAATAATAGTTTTGATACACTGTCGCGCAGGTTTTAAACACCAATCTCAGTCGGTTTTCTGTTGATATAATTCTTTTAACGATTTCAGTTCGTCGATTAGCGTCTGATTTCTATTCTCCAGCACCGCAACACGATTTTCTAAGCACTTTATATATTCCTTCTTCTTTCTTCTACATTCACGCGCCGCCTCTCTGTGTACATAATAAAAATAGATATATTCTTCATCACTAAAGGAATTTAATCTTTTCTCATCTTTACATATAGGATAAGAAAATTATGTTATATCTGTATAGGTAAGTACAGATATAACTTTGTATGTGGTAAGTCTATTCTTATCACTCACCTGTTCTTAAGCAACCTTAACTCTCTCTTTCGTGCCGCATCCTCCACTACTACTCCGTGACCTGTATAAGCTGTAACATTGCAAGAGACTGTACTCTCCAAATTTTTATGTTACGTGTATCATAATTCTCTATACAATTTTTTTTACTAAATAGTTTTTCCATTTTATTTATTAAAAATCATTACTGTATTTATCAAAAGGACATACAGTCTAGAAAATATGTTAAATTTTATTATTAATCTATACCTTCTTATTTTTTTGCAAATCTAAAGTAATATTAATACATCTTATTTTTTGCAAATCTAGTAATACTAATAGAGTAATACATCAATTCATGTAATATGGAATTCTTTTTTGAGAAATAATTATTACGTGTATGTGTGTATATATATATATATATATACATACATATATATATATACATATATTACAATGATGTATGATCACTATACAATATTGTAATATAATAGAAACAAAACTGAAAAGTTTACTTAAGAATCTCTGATAGGAAATGATGCAAAAGCACACCTGGGACAAAAAATTGAGTGTCCTGGCCCTGTGCATACTGCACTATAGCTCCACCCGCTGTCGCCGCATTGCTCATAGTTAACGTGTGAAGCCCCGGAACTCCCTCCCCTTGGGTCGCAATTTGAATAGTACCGGCAGGAATTACTGTAAAACAAATTATTTTGAAAATATGTTCTTAAAAAAAAAATCCTCCAACTAATGACAATAGAGCTGTGCATCATTAACGCACTAAAAATGATAATGCATTTGAAAGAGATTTTATATGCGTGAAACATAATGATATAATGTTCCTTGCACAAAAGAGAATTATTTGAGTTTTTCGGCGCTGTTTTCTTTTTCGTTGAATGATCCGAATGATAAGTCTATATCGATATCCCATAAGCAAGAATGCCACACCAAGCGAGTATCGTGAAAAATGATATATAACGTTAGGCAGTACACACAGGGATGGAAGACAATAGTAAATGCGAATGGATCTTGATTTAAAATTCTTTTTTTTTCTTGTCCTTTCTCATTAAGTACTCCTCTAACATCATCTCCCTCGGTATAAAGAAGAATACAAGAACTATATACATGGACAGCCTGTGGAATGTAATACAACCAGGAAAGATACGTAAAAGGAGATAAAGTAACCAACCTGTTTGATAATGGAGCGAATGGGAAGACACTTCACTGTCCACGTTAGAATCACACTCGGAGGATGATTCTAAGGGGGGCAAACGACCGTCTGTAACACCGAATCAATCCAAACCCCCATTAATTAGCTAACCGGTACCGCTAACGTGTGTGTGCGTCATTCTATGTACAATGCATTACTTTCTCTTTTTCTTTCTTTCTTTGCCAAATTCGTACTATATCTTTAATGCTCACATTGAATAAATATATTCTAAATTACTTGCAATTATCTGCATCCAGAAAGTAAAATTATAATATAGCGATAAGTACGAAAGAAACAAACTGAAATTCCATCGTATAACTATGATTTGTTAAGCTATTTCCTTTCTGGCTGCTGATTATACGATACATATTTATCATTGCGCTGCGTGCAGTCAGCTCATACAAAAAGGAAATAGAAAGTATCGAGAAACATTTATTTTGAGAATAAGTTCTTAAATATTAAACAAAAAGATAACTATTCCACATAGAAACAACAGAAATAACAATTAATTTTGCGTAAATAACTCTGATTGTTTCACATATAAAATAAAAGTCTATGAAGTCTTTGTAAAAACGATCTTGTATAATTATTAGTATATATCTAACATATATTTTCTTTTCCACAAGTTAAATTGTAACAAAAATATATGGAGTGTATTAAAAGTGGGAAAGGAGTGGATTTTATACGGTAGAATTTGTTCAAAAAATTAATTTGGTACAAACGTTAATGGTTACTTGCTCATTTTAAATTTATGATTATAATTTTATAATAATTTCGAACAAAACCATAAAATTCGTTATATGTTTTCTTTTCAACAAATAATGTTTTCTTTTCATCAAACTTCAACATTCATTTCTATAATAATATGGCTGTCAATTACACTTACCTTTTAATACACCCTATATACATGAGAATTAATTAAATTAATGTAAATGTCGAAGCGATAATTACAATAATATTTAATACTCCATAGTATATCGTGGTGGACATGAATGTGTATTCGCCGATAAGTCTTTGAAAAATTATTTTTTTCGAAAATAGGTGGGCGATTGTACACACATTATCACTTCACCTTACTACTCTAAATAAATTTTACTTTTAATGTAGTATTAAGGTAATGGAGTCAAAGGAACGATCTGCGCAAACCCTCTCTCAGAATCTCTAATTTTAATAATAATAATAATAACCCATGTCTCTGCATTGCTGTATGGTATTGTACGAGCTTGGTATGGCATACTTCTCTTATACACCTGACTATATGTAAACTGTAGTACTAAACATAAAAACGACATCGTAATATAAGTATCTTATTTCATTATCTCATTTCACGCGCTAAAACTCATTATGTTACTCTTAAAAAAGCTTATATTGCTTATTTGCGGTCGAAATTAGAAAAATAATGGAAAGCTTCAGCGTAACAAATATTCATTATACCGTACCTGCGCTAATATATTTGAGAAACAAAATTAAATAATATATTATTATAAAAAGAAAAAAGGATATTTATATTAATTTCAGTAGTACTAGAATAATCTTACAGTTTAAATTCTTTAGACATCTTTAAGATATACAAATATGCAAATTACTACATATTTTATATTATCAACTTGTATGAACTGACATGCACGTAAACGTTTTATGTGATTAAAAGCGAGTGTAATTATTTATCTTTAATATTTATTTCATTCGCGGCGAAATGGTAAACAAAATTACGCGAATGGTATTAATTCATAATCATGGAAATCAGCGACTACACGATTAACATTCTCTACATCGCAACTTCAATTTCTATCTATAGAATGTCTTGAGACAAAAGCTTATTATTTAAGTAGAAACTTCACGTCTTACCTGTAATTTCCCCTCCACCTAAATCGTTGAGAATCTTTCTGTAAGACGGTCGTCTAGTTAGAATATTCCTCTTCTTAGGTGAATCTTCGTCTGAGAAACTATCGTCACTACCAGTTTCCACCACCTTAACACAAATAGCAGAGTATTCAAATTTCAATGATACATTAATAACTACGTCACACATTTGCGCGTACTGATAACAATGCAAACATCTGGACGATCTTTAGGCTGAAGTGTTAAAAAGTTAATACGTATGACTCACTTGAAGCGTCTGTAGACTGCCTTGTGCAGTTTGTATAACGGAGTTGGGCTTGCTAACCAGAATAACGTTTCCTTTGGAGATTGCGACGGGTTGTATGTTTGTGGCGGTCTGTATCACGGATTGTTGATTGGGTTGTATGACTGATTGCACCTGTGCAAGAATCAAATCAAATGCTAAACATTATGAACGGTTAAGACAATTATTATATCATTAAAACTAATTATAGACACATGATCATTATTCCTTGTACATATACAAACTGTATACTGCATCGACCAATATCCGTTATAACGAATAATTACTAAAGGAATAATGTACATGTTGTTTGTTGTGTGCTATGAGAAAGATGGGAACTTATGATGCATGAACATATATCCAATGAATACCTTTGACTGTCACATTCATAGAAAGTACTCCCTATGTCCTACAATCTAAGGATGAATGATCTTGGGAAGGCCTTCGCATTCCCAAGACGCAACCAGCATTATGCAAGACCGGATGTCTAGATCACACTTGCATTACAGAGAAACAATAACGATAGTAAAAGGACAAATAAACGCTATGCGCATGCTCCGAAATAAAGAGAAGACAAATTATCGGACATAGATACACAGGAGAGCCTCCTGTATACCTGTGTTGTTCCTGACGTAGGTAGTGTCAGTTGCACAATGCTGGTAGAAGCTACCAGGTGATGAGTTTGCTGCTGATGCGTTCTATCGATAGATTGTACCGAGGTTGCGATTGCTGGCGCTGCGTCGCTCTGGGAGCCCTGCACAGACAACGGATCGACGGCTGATCCATTTTCTTCGACCATACTTTCCATAGCCCGACTACCTCGCGAGCTCTGCAACACAAAAACACTCTGTAATACAAACATTTGGGATGTGTCAGGTGAGAAGTCATATCAATGTTATATCACGTCAAAATTAAACAATTACATTGATCTACAAGTATATACATTTGAATGACACAAGTGACATAACAAAACCTTTAAATTGTAAGATTTCTCGATTAGCGGAACGCGAGTCATTTAAACTTCCCGCCAACAAATAAGATGACTACTACTGCGTCATTTACATAAGCGAGCTAAAAATAAGACGGGGAGGGAAGGGGGAGGGGACAATAAACACGCGCTCGAGGTACTGTTTTTCTCTTTCTCTCTTTCTCTATCTCTATCTCTCTCTCTCTCTCCCACTCGATGGAAAACGACGGAGAGAATTGCTATCCGGATAGACGGCAAGGGTAACCCTCGATCTCGCACGTACCTAGGAAATGCGAGCGCGTAACCCGCGATAGTACCCCTCCCCCAAGTGACGGGTGTCAGGGCGAGAAGAAGCAGGATCGCGAGGTGATCGAGCCACCTCGTGTCGATCGTCGGGAGCGGACGCGGATGCACGCGGTCTCTCTCACTCCGGGCCGTCGGGCCGTCGCCATATTTCGCGGCATCACGTTAAGCGTAGCAGACGAGCGTAAATCGCGCGTATGCGTCGCGCGGTCGTTCGCAAACGCGGAAAGAGCGAAAGGCAATGCACGCAACAGCGGACGCGCGACCGTTTCTTCGTCTCGCACGCGCGATCAGCGCGGTGCGCGAGGAGCCGCGCGCTTGGTCCACGGCCCGATTGTTATTATTCTCCAGCTGGGGCACTTACCAGTTACGTATTTCTCGTCACCAAGTTTGCTGCAATCGGAGTGGGCAGTCGGGCAGGTACGTAGCAGCCACGTCAAAACTCCAGTGGCTTCGTCACTGGTGGAGCCCACGACCTCTGAGTTGCGCGTCACGCTCAAGATGGCAGTCGACGTCGTGATAGCTGCTGCCGCCGCCGCTGTTGCTGCCGTTTGGTGCTGCTGCTAATCCTGCTCTCAGGAACGCCGTTGTTGTTGCTGCCGATTCACCCTCGCCCGCCGCCCTCTGACCCCTCATAATCTGATCTCGTCTATGTTCTAAGCGCGTCATACATGCGATCCAGGGCGATCGCGGCTTTGATCCTCAACGACGACCACGACGGCGATTCCCGCGATTTTCTCTGTAGCACTCTGTTGTACTCTTTCTTTGCTCTCTTCGTACACGTTGCACTTTATTTTCCCTCGGTTTATCGGAAAATATATATAATTGTGATATTTATAATATATAGAAATATCTATAGGATATAAAAATAATCACAGCTGCTGCATTATAAATTATAAATTGTAAACTTCAATACTGTATGGAAAAACTTAAATATCGAACATTAGAAAATGGCCGATAACGGCGCTCTATATGATTGCGTCTTGCGCAAACTTCATATGTAGAACGACAAAACGTATTGAGTATCTGCATACAGAGAAAAAATGTACTAAATTTTAATAAACATTTATTCAAAATAGTACCAATTGAATATTTACTGAATATAAACATATAGTTCTTTGCTACAAAAACTATATATTATAATTTAATTATGTTTTTATTTGGCAAATATATTTATTTTTCGTAAATAAATGTTAATACTGTTTAAACGATTATTTATAAGTATATTAATATTAATGTATAATATATATATTTATATACATATGTATATATATTAAAAGTTAGTACATTTTTCTTTTATGCAAATCTGTTTTTTGTTGTTAAACATCTTTTTCTTTTCGCATTTCTCTAATATTATTTAATTTTAAATGCACCTTACAAAGAACACCCAGACAACACAATGTTTATAAGATTTATTTTAAATATTTCATAAATATTTTTGTGGTCATACATCTATAACACAAATCAAATAAACATTTATTACAAATATTATGAAATATTTATTGTAAATGTTGTAATAAATACTACGAAAAAATACTTAATAAGATATTATAAAATCCAATTAAAAAATACTTATTAGAAATATTTATTTATATTTAAATAGTACATATCCTTTAAAAAGACCTTAAAAAAAGAAAAAATATACGCCAAGTGCATAAAAAAAGTATCGATGTCTTCTTAATCAAAAACAGACATGAAATAAATGATAATTATCCAAGTATTTCATTACGCAAGACTCATAAGATGGACCTATTTGTGATGGACTTATTTTATTAATTTATTTAATTAAATTACTTTTTTTGTTTTATTTTATTTATTTATTTAATTAGATTAATTAATTAATTTTATTTTTTAATTTTATTCATCTTATTAGTAATAATTAATACATTAAACAGGGCGAATAAGAGTCAAATTACAATTAAAAATCTAAATCTGATAATTTAATATTAATTATTATTTGCGAAGAATATCACGTAATTTTTGGCGTTTGATCGTCCCGGCTTCCACTACTGGACTCATCAGTAAGGCATTGTAGTGGAAGCCTACCTTATACGCCTTGGTAAGTTATTAAATCGAGATTCTTTATATAAAGAGATATACATGTGTCTCAGCACTTGCGAGAATTTGCGAATATCGATAAACCTCTGATGGCGAGTAGACGTAATGATATTCTTCGCAATATTTATCCAAAGTAGGAAATACCGTTCTATTAATATATGTAGTACCCCCAAATCTTATTAGTTTGTTTTATTTTTTACTTAATTTAATTTGATTTTTAATTTATTTTTTGAATGTAGATATTGTGAACAGCAGCTCGATAGACAAAACGCTTTACATATAGGTGTCACACGTACAACTAAAAAAATCTTGAAACATAACTGATAACATTGTATAATAAAAGTATTTTAAAATTTTTTAATCAAAAAATAAATATATAGTAATAAATATATTTATCATAGATATTCTATGCCGTGTCTGAGCAGTTTATACATATTCAATAATTATATATGAGTTCTTCAGATTATCGGATCTCAGTAACAATAATTAGATCACTACATTACTACAAATTTTTAGTATATACATTAATTTTAATTTTGGTTCATTTACTCTTCTGCTTTTTCTATTTCTTATTCTTATATATCTATTTCTATAATATCAATGTAAATTAACTTTTTTATCTTAATTTAACTTACTTTTCATGTTTTAATGTTACTTTTCTAGTTCTACGAATAAGAAAAGAATAAAAAGTAAAGTAAATTGAAATTAATACCTAAAATCTAAGCAGAATCGTAATAAAGGCTCTCGTAGTATTTTCATAAGATTTATATAAGAACTTTTAAATGCGCTTATATGTCTTTATATAATATCTTTGCATCTTCCTACTAGCCATAAGATTTAAAATAAAATCGTAGATATTTATTATAACAATGATACATTTTACGATATTATACACATAAAATTAAAATACTAGTCAGAAATTCTTACACGTTTTTGGAACAATCCATTACGTGATTTACACATATTTTAATTACATGATTCCGTTATGTTACTTTATGACGTAATTTCTTTTTAGTAGGGATAAATTAAACTAAAATTAAATAAGTTAATTTACATTAATCAATAAACAGCCATTAATTGATAACTCATATTCGAATTATATATATATATATAAATATACATCTCTCTCTCTCTCTCTCTCTCTCTCTATATATATATATATATATATATAAGTATATATATATATATATATAAATATATATAGATATAGGTGTCTTTATTTTTTTTTCTGCTTATCCGGTGAACGATATACATATTTACAATGCAAATTTATTTACAATGCAAAGTCATAAAAAAAACATCCAAGTTTGATGGAAACTTTTTTCCTTTCAAAAGCAGGCACGTAGTGATGTTCAAAACAGTTAAAACCACAGGTTAAAACGCGCGCGCAATCTATATTTGTTGCACTCTATGGACAAGACTGTTTCAATTTTGGCGGGATTTCCCCTGGTTGTTGTACAACGGCAGCTTTAATTGGTCTGTTTTTTTTAGCTGTACTTATTACACTATACATCCTACCTCCTTTTCTCTCCACCGGGGAGAGAAAAAGAAAAGAGATTAATAGTGCAAGAAGTTCAACAGAAAAGAGCGCATCCTATATTTCTTAGAACAAAGAGATATTTTTGCTCACCGTGCCAGGGCGGGGGCGGTTCGTATTTCGTAGTATCAACAAGTCAACAGAAAAATATAGTAGAAGTCGCTAATCAAAAATTTGTGATTCAGGAGGCGGAAGATCGCTATTCGGAATTACGAAAAGGTATCTCTACAACAAGATTTGACGTCTGCCTGGTCTATTGTTAAAAAGCAGAGCTAAAAAAACATGAAACAATTACGTCACGTTGGATTTATGGACATTGCTTTTATCGGAATGTTCTGTATCGTAGTCGTGAAAGCAACAGGTCAAGATGAGATTACACCGACGATATTTCCATTGGACAACGAAACATATAGTATATATATATATTAAATATTTACATTTTGATAATACTTAAAATATTTTTATACATTAAAATTTTTGTATCAAATTTTACTGTATTTAACATAAAACCTTGTGATATGTGCGTGTGTACATATATATATATAATTGTCTACACACACACACACACACACACACACACACACAAATTCATATAGAAATATTTAAACACAAAAATCTATTTTGGATCTATGAAAAATAAGATTTCTGTTTAATTTAATTCAACTTATTCTTATCAGTGGTTTATTAAAAAAAATAATTATAAATCATGCAAAGATTCCTCACTAGTAAATATTTATAAAATGTATAAAATATTGTTTATAATACAAATGCCAAGTGAGTTTTATTTTTTAGATGAATATTTTATAAAAATGAATGATAATGGTTGCAAATGCATTCAATATAATTGTGGATGCTGTCAGCTTTTAATATGGGATGCAGTCTCTTTGGATGGAAAACGTAATTACATAATTATTTATAGTCTATATTATAATAATTGTTTAATATTGATATATTCTACTTTCGATGCTATATTTTTATATATTATAGTTTGCGTAAATGCAAGTTATTTAGAGAAGGATTATGGGATTTCACTCACAGTGACATACAACAACTTTGCAATTATTAACGAGACAATTTCAGGTAATATCTGATTGCACAATTTAAAATGTATATTGTCGATGTCATATCAATAAATAGAATATATATATTTCTAGCTCGTAACCCACCACCTATTTGTTTTGGAGAGGATATTATAGATGCAGTGGATGTTGAAATTTGCTTGCATGTCTATGATATAAACATTGATGGAGACAAGTTTCACGTTTGTTTCGAGATTTATGGAAAAATAATGAAACTCCCTATCACTAAAATAAAATTAGGTTGTCTCCAGACTAAACTGCATGATAAGATGGAGTATATTGAAAACAATTGGTCAAAATTGTTTCTTAAAAAAACGAAAAATGATTTACCCATTGTGACTAGGGTATGAATAATATTTTGATCATGTATACACACACACAACACACAGAGGTCTGTATTCAGAATGCGTTTTTATTAATATAAAAGTGTGCTTTTATCTCCGAAATTCTATAGTATGCGTAACGTAAACTATAGCATGTTAGAGCGCTAATATCGTTGTAAGCGCGTTTTGAATACGACCCAGAATCTCTATGTGACTTAATCCTAATCGATATTGTTGTGGACAGTTTCTTCATTTCTGTTATTAATAATTTATCTACGTTATAATGAATTATTAATAACAGATGTTCTTCACGCAACCTTCCTTTCTAATTTTAAGTTACATATTATTTCTTAGAATTTCGATTTTCAAAATGTGAACGAAATCGTTCAATTACGTTTACTTTAAGAGCAAAACTACATTAATTTAAAATACATCTGACTAGTGAATACTCAATTTAAAAACGAATATCGATTAGGGTTAAGAAATGTAAATTTCTCACTTTACATTGATTTTTTTTTCAAGATGTATCGAAACGATCGAAACAAAACATACCATATATACTTCTTTTATTTTTGTGTCATGTTAGCAATTAGTTTTATTTTTATCTAATGTAATAATGTGAAGCACAGCTATTATTTTGTTTTTTATTATAACGTATGTTTATTGTTTTTGTAATCTTGTAGATTTGTATAGATATTAAATAATTTCATATAAATGTATTACATGTGTTATACTTAATTATATTAACAATTTATGTATATCAAATGTTTTTTATTATGCTGTTATTTCAAATATTTTGCTTAGTTATATGTATAATTATCTCGTATTATAGATATATTCTTAATTCAACATTGCTATCAATAATCTTTTCCACTCGGCGGCGCAATCGTTCTGGAAAAGAAAAAAAGATTTTTTTTCGTATTATCAGTAAAACGAGTTAAGAATTGCAAATGTATATGTTTATTATAGATAAACGTATGCATTACATTTACATGCTTTTGTATTATTGACAATCGTGTTAAATATCTGACTGGGTATTTTTAGTAATGAAAATTATTTTCTCTTCAAGTTCATTAATTCAATAGCGCAATCAGAAGCCGTTTAAAGTCGTCGCTGCAGTCATTCTGTAAATGCAAAAAAAAGAATATAGGAAAATCAAAGCTAAACATTGATTCACAAAGCAAATCGTGATGTTCTTGTATTTATACGTACATACGGCTATTATATAGAGGCATGCATGCGGTCAGAAATAGCATGGACTAATTAATGGAATTAGTATGGTGAAAAACAAATTGCGTTTAAATTAATAATTATAGTTTACTAGAGTATACAATAGCCAATCAATAGATCGATTTTCGATCGATCTTCACAGAGACTCGTGTACAGTCTTGATGTACAGATTTTTTATACATTATTTTGTAACTTATTTTACACACGTATGTAGCATCACTCCGATCAAGTGCAAAACGTCTATAACTCGAGTAAAATCATATTCACCATTAATAGCAAACGAAACGTAAGAAACTAAATTAATCAAAATCTTTGCAGAATACAATGAAGCGCTATATAATTTCCGCGACATTGAAGTATAATTTTCAACAAAAGGGTCTGTTGCACGATTGAAATATTTTCATCCAACAAGGGCAAGCAAGAGTCTCTTGTAGTCGCCTGAACAGTCGTCCTGAAATTTATGGAAAGTTATACGGAATGCTAAGAAATATAGTGTATATGTGAGTTAATAGATTATTTATTATATTATAGTTGTTTATATATTTTATTGTAGTTTAGTGACTGCTGATGCATATAAGTATACAGATGAAAAGGAATTATGTGAATGTGTAATTTAACATTTCGAGATAAAGCATTGTTGTATTAAGTGAATGGAAGCTTAGAATTGTATGAAGCGCTGGAATTAAAGTGGATTTCGAACAAATCTGTGTGAGTCAAAGAAAGAAATTGACTCTGAATTTACTTAAAAAATTATCATTAAAATATTCTGTTTAAATTTGTATTTCTATTATTAATATTATTTTATATTTTTATTTATTGCATTATATTATTATGCTTTTTTTATCTTTTATTAATTTTATTGTTACAAAAATAAAATCAATTGCAGTACAAATAATACACAATAAAGAGAAAAAGCGTAATAGGTAGAATAATAAATAGCGCGAAACTATTTCAGAAGTTAATGTATTTTATACTTACGTCGATAGCTTCCGCAAGAGATTTTCCGTAAAGTCTCTCATAAGAATCCTTAATATCACCCAGATCAATCTCTGATCGCGTCACAATGATGCGTACCAACGTCGAATCGTCCGTGCCCATTCCACGCATAGCTTTGTATAATCTTTCCGCGAAATAAGCAGTCTTATCGGTGGCGCATTTTACTGAAAGAAGACCGTTTTAGAATAATAAAAATTTAAATATATACATGTATATACGAAAAAAGAAAACGAATGCCACAATTAAAAGTAGTGACAAATAATTTACTAAATAAATAATAAATAAATTATAGTATTTAATGATTTCTTACCCACAGCTAAGTAGCCGTCTTCAACAGAACCAGAGAATTCTCGCTTGATAGCGTGCTTCAAGGTGTCTCCGGTGAGGTGCTCGTATTCCTTGAAGATTCGTCGCAATTGTGGAAAACTCTTAGTAATGAGAATTGCATTGAAAGTACTTTCGTCGGTGCCCCACTGTCCCTCACCCGCGGCATGAAGCCTCTCGGCATCCTGACGTGCGGCCTCCTCATCGACGTCTGGACTCTCGTCTCTGCTGGCCTGATTATTAATCAGAGAATAGAGAAAAACTGGTAGAATAGTGCGCGAAGTTGTACATCAATTTCCAATTGTTACTTACGCAAGACAACGATACTAAAAGCCTTTTGAAATAACCGGAGGTATCGCTCTTGAGGTCATCTTCCAACTCTTTGTCGTACACTAGGGAGATAAATTGGTAATATATTTGTAATTTATAAATTGCACGACTTAAAATCAAGCAAAACTACACTGAAAAAAATTAAATATTAATAATTAATATTTGTTTGAATATAACTGAGTAAATATTTATTAAATGTAAATATATATATATATATATATTTTATTAAAAAACCATTAATTTGATTTTTAACTATCATTCTTTTATTAAATAAATATTTACTGTAAATGTAAATGACTTGATATCATTCAAAGAAATATATATTAAGATTTAGTAAATTTTTTCAGTGCAGAAAATGACAAATATAGTTTTTTTAAATGAAATTCGTGTTCTATGCAGAGGATGAAAGGACTGACTACATATATAGAAAGCAAACGGCCAAATCGGTTCCGAAAAAAAAATACGCTGCGTTGAAACTTACGATCCTTGTAGACAGCCGATATCGTTTTGATACCGTAGTTGCTCAGGGATGCAAGGACTTCGATGAGTGCACCCTCGTCGGTGCCCATGCCGGAAATAGCTTCGTGCAACTCCTTGGCATAATATTCGGGAAGAGGTGTCATTAAGGCCAGGATGACTTTCTCGAAGTTTCCGGACAATTCTGATTTCAACTCGGAAATGAGGTCTTTGCCGTACATTGTCTTAAATTTGTCGGCAATTTCTAATCGCTGTACGATGCCGCGATGAGCCAAGACATCCAATATGGCCTGCTCATCAGTTCCAAAACCCTTCATCGCAGTCCGTAATAGAGTGGCATCTGCCTCGGAATCGAAAGGATCAGCCGGATACACGGTGGGCGTGCACTAGAAACGTATTTAATTTTGCATCATTCGATTATCAAT